CCAGGCAACCACACTTATAGTGTCAGATTAGCCCCCACGATCTGCCTTTTTACTTTGGGCATTTTCTATTTGTTAATTTCTCTTGAGTTTGATAAAATGAAGCAAAACCACATACTACTCTTAACAAAATTTTATTCTAAAAATAGATCTCAGTAACAATGAAATGCCAAAAGTTGGTCATTGTAATAAAAAGAAAAAATGTAACAGAAATTTGCTTTACATTTTTTTTTCCTGAAAAATACAAAATTATCACTGTAATATACTGCCAGCTCTCATTATCTGTATTTGAATTATTCATTCTATGGATTATCCAAGGAAATTTTAAAATCATAGGTTGAATTCTACCTAATATTTAGACATACATCTGACTTGCTTTTATCTTCAAGTAAATACATTATCAAAGAATGCAAATAAAACTGAACATTTGCTGAAGTAAACATAATGAGGAAGATAAATTTATGCTTAGGAAATGTGCTCCAAAGGGAAATACTGGTTTATATAGCTGTTTCCCTCAATTTCTGCAGATAACCAAAAAACAAAAACAAAACAACAAACCAAAAACCCCCAACACCTGATTGCATTGAAGTACTGATATTTGAAAGTAACAAATTATACAACTTATATACAGAAAAAAGACATAACTAAAATATTTCGAACCTAAAGCACAGGAAACTTTAAAGGCAAATAATGACATTTAGTACTTAAAAAGTGGTTTTATATTTTTCAAAGTGCTAAGAAACAAGTATTCAAGAAAAGTTCAGTCCTGTCTACAAAGTTCTGACTGATGTAAAGTACTGAAATATCAAGAATGCAGGAGACAAATCAAGTTTAGAAAGCCCCCATTACTATAAAACTTATCTTTAGTATATTTTTCAAAGAAATGAAGCAGTGTTTAAAAGACCAGTTATGGTTAAGTTAGTAACATACAACTTATCAGCCCACATCTCTTTTTCCAAACTAATGCAAACACATGTGTTTCATAATATTTCTTCCACATGCCACGGGTCACATCCATCCATCCTGTCATATCCATATTCTGGATAATCTTTATTATTCATTTTCATCACATCAATTGGCTATAATGCACAGTGAGTAGAAATGATCCTTTTATATCAGAATTCTTGATTCTCTGCAAACCAAAAGCTGATCACAAAAGTTACATTTAATTCCTATTAAATGTAGGTACATATTTTTTAGGACTTCTTAGCTCATTTTTGGACTGTCAGACATTGGTGTGATTTACTGTGACAATCTAAGATAGAAGAAACAATATCTTAGTACACAGTATGACTAAATACCTCTTTTGTCAAAACGTGACCCTGAGTTTTGAGTGCTGGAATATAAACTGTAAAGCTGAAAACACTCCAAAATATGCTGGCTGATAATGGTGTCCCTCAATATTGCGTGCTTCCTCTCCATTAACATGGTACATCTGAACGTGCCTCCCCTCGTCAGCATGGGAGGAAGAGGACCCAAATAAGGAAGCAGGAACTTTTCTGTCTTAAAAACTCCGCAGGAATTTATTCCAAAGTACATTGGTGTCTTAGTATAAAAATGCTGTTTCCTCAAATCTTTGAGTAACGTTGACAATGCACGAAAATGCGGCATTCTCATCCTATAGGTTTAGTAGCCTGAGGGGAGCCCCACGATCCCTGGCCTGATAAACAGCATTCATCTATCGTTTGGACTAAAGACAGTTCTAAATGTTGCTTTGGAAATCATATAAGAGTCTTCTTTTTTTAAGGCTAGGTGTGTTTACATTACGTTAACCATTTCTAGATATTGAAAGCAGTTCCACATCTGTTAAAAATATTCACTAAATATAAAATTAACAGCTGAACATGAAGTAAAGCAATTTCCAGTGGTGACAGTATTCTCACAGTAGCAAATAATCTAACTTATTATTTAACACTAATAGCTAAGTCTTTAAAACATTATTATGTTAAACATTGCAATTTACTGAAATTACAGAGGAAAAAAAGGCAATTACATCAACTGCCATTGAAAGCGCCAAAGATGTTATTAAAAAGACAGGCTCTCCAATGGCTCTCTAACAGGGATAAGCCCACATATTGTTTCTAGTTTTATTTGACTTCTTTTTTTTTTGGTGGGGGAGGGCATGCATTTTGTTTCTAAACCAAATAACTAAGCTTTAAACATATGAAATATGGATGCTTTCTGAAGAGACACTTTAACTAAAATTATGCTTAAGATTTGGCTTATTCATATAATTTCTGCTATGTGGCAATGGTAATTAGGATATATCCAGCTCTTAACAGCACTGAGGTTCTTTATGTGACCAACAAAGACATCAAAATCCTGAGTGCTGAGACAAGCTCCTTATTTGTATGAACACATGGCATCATACCCTTCACTGATGATGTTTTCCAATTACTGGCCCTATGTGACCAATGACACAAAAAAAATGGGACAAGACTTGTCTTACTATATATTTTCTAACCATTGCATTAACTGTATGCTACATATATTCATTAAAAAAGCCAAATCAAACCCTTTTTACCTTTAGCAATCATGAGGAATCTTTACATATTTATATAATACATTGTATATTATATTCATGACCTGTTTATGCTATTTTCAAGAAGAGAATACTGTTCTAAAGTAATAATAAATCAAAATTAATTGATAGGGTTGTATCAATCTTCTTTCCATTGATCCTTGGAGTCCCTTAAATGATGGCATCATGTTCATCGCTGTAATATATCAAAAGTTAAAATTACTTTATGTTTTGTATTTGTATCAAACTATTTATAGTTCATATTTTTAAGTAATAAATAAATTTCAAGCTTCAGAATCAATACTGTCATTGCTTTGTGTAAAGTTTCTTAAGAAAAAGTACCTGGTATACTGTATTGGTTAAGGATTCAAGCACTGTATTCAGGTTGCGAAATGGACCTATGCTCAAATCTCTGCAGTGGCTGTGTGACTTTTCATCAATTAGATATTATAACCCTCTTTAAAAAAGAAAACAACCAAAACAACGATCATTTCTTGAGCATCTTCTATGTGCCAGGTGTTATGCTACAGACTTTACATCCATATCTCATTTAATCATCACAGTACCCCTAAGCAGAGAGAGGGCATTTAAAAAAAAAAAAAAAAATATATATATATATATATATATAATGTTATTTATTTATTTAATCAATCAGTTCCATTTCGCAGATCAGAAGCTAAGCAAGCATGTGAACTCTTGTCTTGACCACTGTACACTGTACTATATCATTTATATAAACATGGGTAGGCACCCTGCTAGTCAACAGTAGAACCAGAATCAAAATTAAGTCTGTCTGCCCCAAACCCCATCTCTTACCACTTCACTCCACTGTCTCTCCATGCAACTCTAAGAAACACAGGAGCTAACACTATAATCAGTGTTTTAATCAGTGTTATTATCCAATAAATGAAAACTAGAAATGCTAATAATTACTAGATATAGAAGGTCTCAGGTTCCTTAATGGGACAAGTATTAAGTCCTTACTTATGGAATGTCATTATTTATAACTTCAAAGGAACTACTAGCTTTAAAATGTACTCTTTAAAAAATGTAGCACTAAGAAAAACATGGCCTATTAAACTACAACACAATGCTTTCTCATCCCATAGACTGTAAGATACATCCATTTCAGAGGTATTAAAATGTGGAAATACACAAAAACAAAAATGTGTACTTAGACTCAACTAAATATGGTGTTTTCACCATCTACTGGTTCTGATATGAATAAGACTCCTGTTAGAGTCACAATGCCTTCCTTACATGCCACACAGCTCTGTCCTTACAGTTACGGGGATTCTGGACTCTGATGTCCTCCACAGGGCATGCAGCATTATGTGGTCATGTATACGTGAGGAAAAAGTCCATAAAGCTAAAATTATATACTTTGTAGTTAAGGCACTTTAAAATGAAAACAGCACATTTAAATTTAATTCCTTCAATATTTTATAGCCTCAAGTGTATCAATAAATATTGATATTATAAAAAAGGAGTTGCATTAAATTTACTATAATCAATGTGCCTTCTGTTTAACTGGTGAAATTTACCAAGAAAACAGATGGTAAGTATTTCTAGAAACACAGTGGTTTTAAAAAATATTTCAAATTTTAAAGCATTTTTCGAGTCAACTCTGTTTAGTCAGTTTCCTTCATGTATTTTTTTCTTTTACGGGTTGATCTAAAAGAGAAAAGAATGTTTCTGAATGTGCTTTTAATCTGACAAAACACCACTTTTAAAGTAAGTTCGATATGATGGATACTGTATGCGGAAGGTAACTTCCAATTTAAATATACTTTTTTTAAAGTCTGGTTTTCTTAGTTCAATGAAAAATTTGAGACATATTTTCATACTATATTCTCCTCCTAAAAATTCATAATGTACATCAACATATCAAAGGCTTACAGTATTCTTATATTAAAGTAACCTATTCTATTTTACTTTGCTCAATTAGTAGTTCCCAAGTGTTTCTGACATGGAACTCTGTGTGGGACACATATGCATACGACAACTTAAACATATCTTGGATAATGGTCATCTATTCTATGGTATTTATTTTATACATACATTAACAATCAAAAGAATGGATTTGCTCTTGTACATATAAGGCTCAAAAGAAAAAACTGAAAGGACTTTGTTGGAATAACAAAAATTGGGAGATGATACCTCCAAAAACCATCAGATCTACAGAATGACATAGTTCGCTGTTGGGGACTTGTTGATAAAGCTCACCTGAAAAGACAGTTCTGCTACAGATTAACTGATAATGTATATTATACTAACAACTCAGTATCAGGGAAAATGAGGCTGTCAGAAGAATTTCTTTATTTTCTTTGTCACAGAAAGCAAAAATCACGTTTTTATCAAGGATGTTATTTTAGTATGTCTTGTGTTTGTCAGTAACACTAGGTCAACAGCCTCAGGAGACCTGATAATGGTATTTCTTGCAATTAGAGGTATAAGCAAGTAAAAAGGACTGGCTAAGCTTGGGTCTCTGGTTAAAAAAAAAAAAAAAGTATGACACTAATAAAATACAATCATTTTTATAGGTATATCCATTTGCATTTGCAAATAATTATAATCACAAGCTTGTACATAAACAATTTGCTTTTGGCATTGAGGATTAATGGGAATATAACTCATAAATCTATAAATTATTAATCCGAGATGAACACTCGCTCTACTCTGATATTTTGTCATGATATTTAAATACAGAATAATAATAAAAAAGTCCTGGCCAATCAAAACTTACATGGTTCTATACCGAATGCCTCTTCTTGAATAATACATTTTGCATCCAATGTAAAGAAAAGATAAAACTCCCAGTGTTAATACAATACCACCAACAAAGCTGCCAGTATCAAATTTTGATCCTTTATTTTCCTTAGAAATAATAGTTGCTGTGACTAGAAGAAAACAAAAGGAAACAAAAAAATAAGGCTTTAGTGCTTTTTAAACATATTGTAATAAGCTAAAACATTCCGAATTTCTATGTAAGAATGCTGATCTGGGGACAAGGGGGAATCATAAACACATCAAGGTGCTCTCCAGCGGATTTTTTGTCTAGTGACTGCCTGGTTCTAGTTTTCTTCACTTGATCCAACACATCCCTTAAATCCCCAGTGCCTACAACCCCAAGGTCTTAAGGTGAGACTGGGCTTGGATGGTCTACCAAAACCTCAGAGGCAGCAAGACTTGGTTAATTCTTTTATGAATTTTCTTAAGAGTTCATGCCTTAAACAAAACAGGTCTGGGTAACAGCTGAAATCTTGAAACTGGATCCAATTTGAGTAAATGTTTCTAATTGAAATTTCTCCTTTTGAATAAATTGGGAATTTTAACTATTTTAATTTTATGGAGTCAAGAGCCCCTGAGACATTAAAGTTGATTTCAATACATAAATTGTAGTAATAAAAAAATAAACTTTTTGGAATAGAAGTATATAAAAACACACAAAAGAAACCATGAAGTCTGCTATTTGTTCTGATAAATGTAATCACTAGCTTTTAAACAGAACTTCAACTTTGGATAACTTAAAAGAGAATCTTAAGGTTTTTGAATTCATGGTTTCACAGGCATTATATTTTAAACAAATGCAAAAAAATAAAGAGTGCTGAGACTAATACTACATATGTGACTATATATAATACCATTAAAAGATATTTTTATGGCACAAGTAAATTAAAACCAAAGTTCTCCATGATTTAGGTTTAGAAATCATGGAGACTGAGCCTGCCTAATTCATTTCTAGAATGAGGTTCAAAGAGTTAAAGGTATGACAAGTTTTCAAACCATGCAAAATAAAATCCCATGTTAGGATAAATTATTTATTTACAGATAGATCTCATACAGTCATTATTTGGCGTGGTTAAGTTGGAAGCTAATTTTTTTAAAGGGACAAGATAGTTACCAAGTCAACTGACTCTTCCTGATCTCTACAACTAATTTATTTAGGAAATGAGAAATAATTGTCTAAATTTCTACATTTTTACAGAATGGAATGATGTAAATGTGGCATTTTAACAACTATTTTTTCAGCATAGGAAAAATAGGTCCATTTTTATACATACTTGTTACTGATGAAGAAACAGACGTCACCGAACTATTGTGGGTTGTGGTCATTGTGGATGTTGATATCTGGGATGTATTTTGTGAAACACTTGTTATTTTGAGTGTAGACCTTAAGGTGGTGGAAGTCATATTTTTTGAGACCTCTGGTGTTATCATTTTAGATGTTGCTATGCGTTTTGAGGTGGTGGCTGTCCCGTTATTTGAGACTGAAGCAACTAGAATTGTTGATGGTTTTGCTATGGTTTTCAAGGTAGTGGCTGTCCCATTATTTGAGACTGAGGCAGCTGCAGTTGTTGACGGTTTTGCTATGGGTTTTGAGGTGGTAGCTGTCATCTTTGAGACTGGGGAAACTGGAGTTTTTGATGGTTTCACACTGAAGTTGGAAGATTCATTTGTATGGCTGAAAAGCACCTGTGGGGCTGCAAGAATATGAAGAAACATTAAAGCCAGAGCTATGACTTAGATAATTAAGCTCCCACTTCACTGACTTTCGTGGTCATACATAAAGAAAAAGGTCTAACAAACACAGCATCATGAAAGATACTTAGCTTATTAATACTTTGCACTACACAGCAAGAAGCCATAAAACTTAGAGTAAAATATTCAACAGGAACCAAGCCTGGATTTACGTAAAGTAAGAAATTTTTGTGAACATATGGGAAAAAAGAAGCTCAACCCAGAAGACTGAGTTCTTTCGATACAGGGACAGTGTCTTAACCATCTCTGTGTCTGAATATTCCATGCTTCATGTCACAAATATTAGTTGAATGGATTATTAAACCAATGGATATAAAAAGGGTTTTTAAAGTTTAAGGTTTCTCTGCCACATTCTTCCAAAAAGCTTTGAGGACAAACAGTAGCTGCATGCTTCTAACCCCCCAGTAGGATGTGAGCATGAGTGAGATACTCTTCCTAAGAGTAAAACCAGCTTCCCCATGGTGTACTAGGAAGTGAAACAACATCACAGAACGTGGCTAATTGGAAATCTCATACTGGTGATAATTTTCTGTCATTGGGAAGGTATTTCTAAAATTATTTCTGAAACCTTTAAAAATGCAAAAGCCAATTTTGTAAAGGAGAATCATTGGTGTTAATTTAAAATAAACAATTGGAAATAAATAAATAAATAAGTGCTATGACCAAAAATAAATACTAAATATCTATATATGTACAAAATGCCCAAAAGCAAACCTTTCTGTCTTAACAATATTCTTTCATACTCTATCTTCATTGTAACATCACAACCTGATGTTTACAACTAAAGATACTTTAGTTATTATAATTTAGTATATACTATCTAAGGAATGAAAAATCTCTTTGCCCTATTAATAGGATGTAATTTATTTCTGTGTTTGTTTCCTAGTCTCAAAGTTTACTTGCAGGCTTAGTGGTTTGTTATGTTGCCTATATACTCCCATTTTACTCTTTATGGCCAAGAACTAAAGTGGAAAGAATTACCCACCGGGCTTGCCTTCTCCTTTCCCCCAGTGACAGCAGCACAAGGCCTTCAGGTTCTCTGTCCCACTGCTGCTGTCACATACCAGAAGTGATTACTTCATGCATTATCACCCTTTCACAATTATTCTGGACTTTTTATTCAAAGAATTCAAATATTTATTTTCAATTTTACAGGCTGGTTTTAATAGTGCTTATCTGCCCGTCTGCTTTTACTCTTTAAATTCCTATCACATTTTGTGAACTTTGGGTCTTTACTGTGTGATCTCTTCCACTGAGTATTACCTAATTTTTAAAAAAAGACCAAAGGAATCAGTACTTTTGTATTATATAGGTGAATAAATCATAATTATTCAAGTAGAATGCTATGAACTTTAACTAATCTTTTATTATTCAATTCTGAATGCTCTATAGACATATAATTTAGCATTGAAATAATCACCTATTATTTTAATGTAGAGAATGAATTCTATTATAATGAAATTAAATATAGCAAAGAACCATCATTTATATCATATCTTTAGAACAGATGATCTTTGCAGAGTAAAACAATGAACACAATTCTGCTTTTGGATTCCACACACACACACACAGCCTACTCTCTTCTCCCTGCCATAATAAGATATTCTTCAGAGATACTGTATGAAGTAACATGGGCAGAAACAGGGAGCTGTAACAGGTTAGTTATTCACTAAGAAAATCCAAATGTGTTACAGAAACCACTAAGCAGCTAAAATTTTCTATAAATTGACAAAACAGGCCAATAATTTTTATGTTAAGGTGTATTTCATGATGTTTAAATGTGATAACTGCAATGCAAGGATGCTCTCTTCAAGGTCAGAACTCACACTCCATGACTCAACCCCCTTGTCTGTAACATAAGTAAACGGTCATTTGTGTTCCTCTGCAAATGAGACCATCCCACCATGGACGTCTGTGTGTCTTCCTTCTCCCTTAACTGTTCAGCTACTGACCAGTGCCCTCCAGGGCGTGGCTCAGTGAGTACCTGCAGAGATGTCAGAAGAACAGAGCATCCATGCAGGGCTTGGAAAGGGTTTAGCCCTATCTGACTTTGCTGTTTTAGCCAGTCAGTCTCCCCCTGCCTCTGAGAAGCAGAAGTTGTAAAGGCGTGGAGGGTGGGTGACATGAGTGAAGGTGGTCAAAAGGTACAAACTTCTAGTTATAAAATAAATAAGTCATGGAGAGGTAATGTACAGCACACGGTGACTACAGTTAATAATACTATATTGTATATTTGAAAGTTTTTAAGAGAAAAGATCTTGAAAGTTCTCATCACAAGAAATAAAATTTTATAACTAAATATGATGAAATAGGTGTTCTGTGTTATATACATTATTATATATTATGATAGATGTTACTTATTTTGGTGATCATTTTGCAATATATAAATCATTATGTTGTACACCTAAAACTAATATAATGTTATATGTCAATTGTATCTCAATCAAAAACAGTACAAAAACATCAAATCAAAACAAAACAAGTTATAAAGGCCCAAAGAGGGTACGTTACTGGAGAGTGTCAAGTGTGCTCTGTGTCCACCACCACCTCTGCCCACGGAGGAAAAGAGGAGAACGCAGCCCCTCACCTCAAACTAAGCCGAGGGAATCACCTGAAGAGCAGGCCCAGTATCTCCTGGACTTGAAGCGACGAAGACTAAGATTTGACTCAAGCCTGAAAAGTAACTCTAAAGGCGAGAGGCTATGGCTGAGCTGTCTCTACCTGTCAGCAGAGTTTAAAAGGCTGCGCTGGGAGTAGACTCTTATTTCCACTGACAGCAAAGGTGCGTGTTTCCCGAGAACCAAACCAGGCCCCATGGAACATAGCCAGCATGGGGCTGCCTTAAAAGATAGCCTCCCCAGAGAGTTCTGCGCAGAGGGATGAAGATAACCAGCAGAGAAGTGGAACACCAAAAGCTACGGGCCAAGGGTGTGTAGTGAGAGGGTCAGCTGGAGGGGAGGCCCTACTGCACCAGGGGAGCTGAAGGGGGAAGCCCCAGCTGCAGGGTCTCCCCGGAATCTACCAAAGAGAACCACATCCACCACCTAGGGGGCACCTTCGCCAGATGAAAACATCCCAACTGGCTTTTCCCCTTAATCCCCTTTAGGCCTGATCCTGGAAGGGTAAAAACCAGGAGAAGTGAGGGGGAGAAAGGCAGAGCAAGGAAGGAAGCCGACAGTGTCAAATTCCCCACTGTCGGTTCCAAACGCGAAGCAGGCCCAGGCTGGCAGAGGGAGAAATTCCAATCATTGTAGACTTTTATTTATTTTGGTATTATTCTGAAAAGGAGAGACACCTTACTAAATACAACTCATTCAATAAACTGGACCTACGTACTGTCGATAACACCTCAGCTAATGTAAGTGGAGCTGCGGGAAGGGGGTGTATGTGGCACACAGTTGTTAACACTTACTTAGTTAACTAAATAAGTTAACTAAAATTCATATGTTGAAGCCCTAACCCCCAGTAGTTTAGGATGTGACCTTTTTTGGAGACAGGATCCTTACAGAGGATTATAATGAAAAAATGAGGTTATGAAGATGAGCCTTAAATACCTGGTGTCCTTATAAAATGGGAAATTTGGAGGCAGACAGACATACAGGAGGAACACCATGTGAAGATGAAGGCACAGATCACGGTGATGCTTCCAACAGGTCAAGGAAAGCCAAAGATTGCCAGCAAAACACCAGAAACTAGGCGAGAGGCACAGGACAGATCCTCTCTCAGGGGGCAGCAACCCTGTCGACAATCTGACGATACATCTCTGCTGTTTATACTACCTAGTTAGTGGTCCTTTGTGTGGCAGCCCTAGCAAACTAATGCACTCAGGACCACAGTTCTTTCACTGCTAACAAAGCGCGTCTTCAGGCAGCTGTGCCACAGCACTCGCCAGTGGCTGTGCTGAGCTTGTTCCTTTCACAGATCCTTGAAACTAATCACTGTGAGATGAATTAAGTCATTCGGTACTTGTCAAACTACTCTCAAAGCTTCTTAAATGAAACCTAAGATCATCTATAGATTTTAGAGCTATAAAAATTTCTTGACCCTAACTCTTGGTTTCAACTAACATAATCACAGGAAAACAAAGTGAAGGGCTGTAGTAAGAGCACCCATGCACCCTCCGTCCCAGCAACTGCCATGTTCAGGCACAAAAGGGACAAGACAGAGAAAGTACAAATAGGGATGAGTTGATGTTTTGTGACTGCTGCAAAAATACTCAAGACAGTCCAAACAGCACTCCGTTCCTGTTCTGTAATAAGAGAACTATCCCTGGAGCACAATTTTTCTATGACAGAATTCGCACTTCCATGTACTGAGCTCTTCTCTTTACCAAGTGCTGGTGATATTTTTCAGGCATGGTGGGAACGAGCTCAAGCTCTGGATCAGCTCAGCCACTTACTTGCTGGGTTACCTTAGACAAGTTACTTAACATCTCTGAGATTCAGTCTCCTTCCTGAGATATCACAGGGGTTTGGGAGAAATAACTGACAATTTGTATTGAGCACTTAGCACAGTGCCTCCTATGGAGGACCTGCTCAATGAATGGTTACTCTGTATCTCAGCATTTGTTTTACAGAATATACCTCTCCTACGGAGCTGCACTACACAGTTCCCTTATAGGAGGCTGAGTAGTAGTCAGTCAGATCTACTTCCATGATTATCACCACTGCCATCTGAATAACAGCACATCGAAGAGGATGCTCTTAAAGGTATTTTCAGTTCATTTATATAAATATCTGAGAAGAAAAAAGTGATGTTCCAGGCCTTTTTCTATTAACATCAGCCGGCCACCTTCTTATTACAGCAAGACCAAGGACACTATGAAGCAGCCTGTTTGTTCCTAGTACCAAGTAAAAGTACTCATCCTCTTCAAAGTCTGGATTTATTCCAAGTATCTTTGTATAACTATGTTGTGTTGAAATAACTTTCTTTACTCCTATAA